TAACCACTACACATATCCAGATAAGGTCCCCTCTACTCCAGCAAAAAGTTTTTGGTTTAGAGTAGCATGGATCCCGCTGAGCTTTGAAGTGTGAGCAGGGCAGACAGCTTACGTTTAGAATAAGAGTGGCTGTGATCATAACGTCTAAAGAAAGGACATGTGCTGCCACCTGTTGTCTTGTTTTATCACTGAAGCTGTGAAATTATTTAAATCGCTTCAATACATCTTCTACATTGTTTAGTCTATAACAATAAAATGATGTGGTTTGATCCCAGGCTGCTTTCTGGCTGCATGCCAAATATCCTGGGGCAAGATACTAACCCCACGTTTGCCTACTGGTGGTGGTCAGTGTCCGGCAGCCTCGCCTCTGTCAGTGCGCACCAGGGCAGCTGTGGCTACCATCACCAGGATGTGGATGACTGGGTGTAGTGTAAAGCGCTTTGGGACTGAGTAAAGCGCTCTACAAATGAAGGCCATTTACCATTTTTGTGCGTTTAATTCTCCTATGTTAGATTTGCATATGTGCATATGGTCACAGCAGAGAGAGCACAATCTGGGTTACAGCAGCAGACAGATCCTTTTTTGAAACGTTCATTTTTTTGAATAGTATCAAATTCGGGATCATGGTTATGTTGCACATTTAGATTAAAAGAAATAGAAACCAGTGTGGCTTTGTGAGTCAGCCTTTACTTTGTATTCAACAAATATATAGACATAGTACCGTCACACAGTCTCACACAGCTTTAGGCGCACTGCAGTATGGCGAGTGGCTTGTTTACTCGCACTAAAGCTCCTCATTTCAGGAGATACTCCCTCTTGTGGTGTAACGGAGGCATAACTACTCTCACCAGCACTGTCTCATTGGAGACTAGGGCACAGATCATTTTACAACTAAAGAGAATAACATATAACAATCAGAACATTTTAACCACCTCAAATCAAATCACTTTTATTGTCACATCACATGTGCAGGCACACTGGCACAGCACATGCGAGTGAAATTCTTGTGTGCGAGCCCCACAAGCAACAGAGATGTGCAAAACACAACAACACAAACGAGCAAAATACAAGAATGGCCAACCTGAAACTAATAAATATATGTACAATAGTGTATGCATTTCTGGATGTGTATACTAAACGTTTTTCTACGTGTGTGTGTGTGTGTGTGTGTGTGTGTGTGTGTGTGTGTGTGTGTGTGTGTGTATACACATTTTTACAAATTAAATAGAGTAAACAATAATAAATATATAAAAATATACAGAGTTGAATATGTGCAAAACAGTGGCATTACTGTACAGTGTGTAGTGCATAATGTTAAAGTTCCAGTAGTGAAGCTGAGGTGTCTATGACGTGTTCAGCAGTCTGATGGCCTGATGGAAAAAGCTGTCTCTCAGTCTGCTGGTACGGGACCGGATGCTGCAGAACCTCCTTCCTGATGGAAGCAGTCTGAACAGTTTATGGCTGGGGTGACTGGAGTCCTTGATGATCCTCCCCGCTTTCCTCAGGCAGCGCTTCCTGTAGATGTCTTGGAGGGAGGGAAGCTCACCTCCAATTATCCGTTCAGAGCACCGCACTACTCACTGGAGAGCTTTGCAGTTGTAGGCGGTGCTGTTGCCATACCAGGTGGTGATGCATTCAGTGAGGATGCTCTCAATGGCACAGCGATAGAAGGTCCTGAAGATGCGGGGGCTCATGCCGAATCTTTTCAGTCTCCTGAGAAAGAAGAGGCGCTGCTGCGCCTTCTTCACTGTTTTGTTTGTGTGTACTGACCACGTAAGATCCTCAGCCAGATGTACTCCAAGGAAGCTGCTCACTCTCTCCACAGCAGCGCCGTTGATGGTGATGGGGGTGTGTACTTCTCTGCACCTCCGGAAGTCCACTATCAACTCCTTTGTCTTTGCGACGTTGAGGGTGAGATGGTTGTCTTGACACCAGTGGGTCAGGGCGCTGACCTCCTCCCTGTAAGCCGTCTCATCACCGTTGGTGATAAGACCCACCACTGTAGTGTCGTCCGCAAACTTCACAATGATGTTGGAGTTGTTAGTGGCTGTGCAGTCGTAGGTGTAGAGTGAGTACAGGAGAGGGCTCAGTACACACCCCTGTGGAGCACCAGTGTTCAGTGTGATGGAGGATGAGGTGATGCTGCCCAGTCTGACCACTTGGCGTCTGTCAGACAGGAAGCTAAGGATCCAGCTGCAGAGGGAGCTGCTCAGTCTGTGTGTGTGTGTCTTTAGGATGAACTAGAAAATAACATAAATGTCTTTATTTATATTCTCATTTGCTGTTTGTATTTCTACATTTGTTTTCCGTGGGTGGAGACAGTCTGGAGCATGACTGTCTATCAGATGAGCCGTAACTGAATTCCAGTCTGATTGGTTCCGCGTGACTTCAGAAACCAGCTGGGCCAAAAGTAGCTGTCCAATCGCCCAGTATCCACGTTAGCTCCTCCTCCCAGTGCAGAAAACACCCACCACAGTCAGCTGTTGCCTCAATCGGGACTTCCCCGTCAGTGCTGCGAGTCCGCGCTGCTTCGGCTTTTCTTTATATTTTCAGATTCGGAGATTATTCTTAGATATATTTGGAATATACGAAAGGCTTTCCAATGGAACAAGACGAGCAGGTGAAGCATCTGCGTCCCACCACGGGCTATGGAGAGAGGTTCAGGCTCACCCTGACCACTCACAAGTCCTTTTTGGAACAAAGATGGCGACGTCAAATGTCATTTCGAGGCGTTGGACGTAAGGGGTGGAGCCCCGCATTGGAGGCTCCACCCCAGAATAGCACGTCACTGTGCCACAGGGCGAGGCTGTATACTTCCTCGACGGATCTAATGCAAAGGAAGTATGGCTACGATGCCCTTGGTTCACGCTGCACTCCTCTCGACTGTGGTTTTTTTGGTCTCTGCGTTTAACGGTAAGTTGGGGTTATTTGTTAAGACGTTCCTCCTCGGTGCAGTCTGACATTACTATATCACTGTAGATCGGTTATACAAAATTTGTAAAAGTACACTTAAATATCGCTTCACCTATTCTGATTCAGTTACGGGTGGGAAGAACTGCACATTTAACGCATGAAGAAAGAGTGGGGTTATCACTTAGTACAAGTTCTGAAAAAAACTCCAAAAGCTCCTTTTCCAAACTGACCCCTCCCACCCCTTGCTTCGACACACCAGCCATTGTCAGGCTTCGACCGGCATGTGCTCTTGCAGTTGCAGGCCAGCTGTCGCTGGGGTGTCAATCGTACGGGCCGCAACACAAGTTAATGTCTGTTATTAATGGCCTGTCTGTTATGTGGGAACGCATGCAGGCCGGTGTTGTGCCAAAGTAGTTACCCGGCATAGGGGGTTATCAGACTAGGATCACGTGATCATGTGAAAGCAGGAAGGGTTACCTCTTCTCCGTTTCTGTAGCCTGATCTGAAGTCGCAGCAATAAATCGCAAAAGCTGAAAAACATCACACTCTTTTTTTTGTGAATGCATTTAAATGCTTATTTGGAAAGAGACTGCTCATTGTACGTACATTGTACAAAGACTTTGATACTATAACAGTGTAAAACCACACGTGATCATGTCATCACATCACACCCCAGTGAATTAACCTTTTATAATGCACATTAGAGGTGCTACCTCAAAGGTTTATTTGCTAAATAAATCAGATTATAACCAAAAACCACAGTAACAGAACTGATTTGCAAATTTCTGAATCCCCCTGTTACTGAAAAAGATCTGTGTATTTATCTTTAGTTTTTAGTTTCAAAAGGAAACCTTGCTAATGTGCATTATAGGAGGGGGACGCACACATTTTGGCAGATGCAGCCACACAGCCTGATAAAATCTATAGAGGGGTAAACCCAGGTTAATTCACTGGGGTGCGATGTGATGACATGCTCACGTCTGGTTTTACACTGTTATAGTATCAAAGTCTTTGTCTGAACAAACTGTTCCCATCAGATAGTGCACAGTTTAAGGTAAATAGTCTTCCGCACGGTACATTATAATGTCATGAAATTAGCATTAAAATGCGTTTTTTCAGCTTTTGTGATTTGTTTCAGTGACTTCAGATCAGTAACAAGTAGAGTAAAGAAACGTAGCCAGACAAGTGTCTCCTCCTCCTCTGAACGCTCTTGTGGATGGGGGAACAATTTTTGCTGGAGGTAACTACTTTGGCACAACAAATGTGAAGAAACATGCAAAAACGTACAATGAGCAGCATCTTTCAAACTTGCCCATGCCTTAATTCTCATGTGTTCTTCATAGTAGTAGCAAATGCATAAAAATAAGGCTTTTATCAAAATACTCAAAGAAGAAATTTTAGATTTTAAGTCATTTGTAATTCTTAACTAGGTTGAGCTGCTGGTCATCACAAACAAGCACAAGAAGAAATTTTAGATTTTAACTGTATTTACAGAGGCTTTAGAGCTTTTCCTACTGATAAAAACCTCATGGCCATTCATACTACACAAGGAAGTGACCACAGACTTTAATGTTGCTGGATTCTCCACATATTTAAAGTCTCCTTTGATAACACACATCACTGTGTGCTAAATTTCGGTATCCAGTGTGTGCTGTAATTCATCTATTTCCCCAGATGTCAGTCTGTTTGCAGCTCTTGATGATTAGATTGCACAAAGGAGTAAATTAGCTTTTTAATGTCTACAACCCAAACTGTGTCCTCTCATTCAGTCCAGATAAACATCACAGCTGGACAGAACGTCACTCTGCCATGTCGAGCTCCAAACAACAACAAAACCATCACAATGGTAGAGTGGAGCAGACCTGACCTGGGATCAGAATATGTCCTTTTTTATCGCAATAAGCAGTTTGCTCCAGACAACCAGCATCCATCTTTTAAGGACCGGGTGGATCTGCAGGACAGACAGATGAAGGAACGAGACGTGTCTTTGATTCTGAAGGATGTGACGATTAATGACACTGGAACATACGAGTGTCGTGTCGTCCAGAAAGAAACAAACCGCAGGAAGAGAGCAAATCTGGAGACTGACCCCATCAGCATCATCAACCTTCATGTTGTTGATCCTCCAGGTGAGTGAGTAGAGTTGAGTGTGTGTGTGATCAGAGGTGAAGCTGCTTCCTGGTTGTTGATGTTTGTTTCTAAAGATGTTGTTGATGAGACTTTGTAGAAAGCAGCTGGTCTGAGTGATGTGATCAGAGTGCAGTAGATAATGTCTGACAGCAGTTTGAAGAGGAAATGGATTCTGTTCTGTTCTTCACTCATCACCTACCTGACAGCTGACACCTCACACCTGTTTCTCACCTGCAGGTCAGCCAGGAGAAAACCCAGACGATGGAGGGAAGGAGGCTGGATCTGTTGGACTGGTCATTGGTCTTTCAGTTGCTGCTGTGGTGTTTTCTGCTGCTGTTGTTCTTTTTTTGATCTATAGAAAACATAAAAAATGTAATCAGGACTCACACCATCCTCCCACTGAACCACAGACTGAAATGTCTGAGAGTTTTCTAAACTCTGAATCTCCTGCTGCTGAATACAATGACAGAAATGACCTGGAAGCAAACAACTGTCACGGACACTCCAGAAGGATCCCTGATGTCACTCTGACACTTGCTGACTCCTCAGGAAACAGCAGGACTGCTTCCACAGAGAAACATCAGAGTGCAGTAGATAATGTCTGACAGCAGTTTGAAGAGGAAATGGATTCTGTTCAGTTCTTCACTCATCACCTACCTGACAGCTGACACCTCACACCTGTGTCTCACCTGCAGCTCAGACAGGAGGAGACCCTGGGCTGGAAGCTGGTCTGTCAGTTTTTGGTGTGACTTTTTTTAAAACCTGAAACAATTTTTTCACCTTCTCTTTGTACTGAACAAAAGCTGGTCTTAGGCTATATTTATATTATAAGCTAATGAAATGTTTCATAACTAAAATCTGACAGTTGAGCTTTCAGATTACTGCAGTACTATTTTATCTACCTCATGCTTTACAACCTATTTATTTGCCTCATTACAAAAAGTCCAACTAATGTTCCTTCTGCTATTAGTTAATGAAGCTTCAGTAGAAAATTGAATCAGTCTATTTCAGCTTTAGCACTGGATACATGAAAATCTATTTACTGTCATTTCATTGTTTTTATAGAAAACAGATCAACTAGTCTGACTCCTCATCACAGAGGTAACACTGTGATCAGTAACATTAGACATTCATTGTTATTAAATGTTCTCATTAGTTTGTTTCTGTTTCTTTATTGTATTGATACATTATTACACATAATTCTCAGAAATTATAAGAGCAGAATACAAACAGACCATGACACATTTTTCAGGGATTCTCAGCTGCCAGAAGCAGATCAGAAAAGATCATAATGTTTTATATTCTGTAAATGATCAAATAATGAAGAAATAAATGATGTCAAAGTTAATTCTCAGTGTGTCATGTGTGTTATTAATAATGTCCAGGTGTTGATACTTTGTAAGCTCTGCTTTTCAAATCTTTCATGTTCTTTAAAGAAAAATAAAGATCTTTTGATCTAAAGTGACTGAATTTTTATTTCAGCTCAGCCCCAACCAAATGGTTTCTACAGAGAAAGAGGATCGTACTCAGTGTGCACACTACACAGGAGTGACAGCTGTGCCCACACAGTTTAATTTCTACCTGCAACAACATCAGTGATCACACTAGTCAAACTTGCTCAACAATGGCAAGGACAAACATTTTCTTAATACGATGAATATAACTTTTTTAGACTGTCATATTATAATTATCTGGTGAGAATAAATTATGTATTAATAATATATTTGAGATCTCATGCAGGTTAGACGTGTAGGCTAACATCACAGGATGATTCTGTCCATTCAAAGCTGCTAATAAACCTGAATATTGACCTTTAACCACGATACAGAGAAAATGCAATTAAAATGTAACCTGCACAACTCCTAACAAGCCAGTGTTGTGGTTTGTGTTCAGGTTCATTAAAACCACTGTTCAGTTTGAGGAAGCAGTTTTAAGACACAACAGACATACATGCAAGTGTAATCGTGGATGGAAGGAAGGAGGATGGAGGAGAGAAGAGTGGATCTGTTGGACTAATAGCTGGTCTGGTAGTTTCCGCTGTGCTTCTTGTTGCTGCTGTTTCTGGATTTTTGATCTACAGAAAACATAAGAAGCAGGATCAAGATTCATACCAGCCTCCTGTTGAAATGCACCATGTTTGAAATGTCTCAGAGCTTTTCCAAATGAGCTCTCAGTCTCCTGGTTATGCGTCAATTTCCCATCGTTGTCACTCAGCACAGTAAAAAACAGATCTGAGGACGTGTTTGTCATGAAAAGAGCCCAACATTTGGTTTTCAGGGTTTTTATGAAGGGGATTTATTTCTGTGAATGAAAAACCGACTGAAATCCTGGATTCTGTTCTTCACTCACCACCAGCTCACACCTTCTCACCTGCACGTCCTAGAGGACTTGGAGGGTTTGTGGGACTGGTAGTGAGTCTGTCAGTTTTGGTGTGTTTGTTCTTGTACCTAATGATTTGATCTGTAAAAGAAGAAAATGAAATGGTGCTGAATATGTGATTTCTGCTTCTCAGAGATCCTGTTAAAGTCTAAAGACATTGGGAGGGTTTCACACTGTTTGGAGCAGGGAAACAGGTGCTAATGGTACAATACTGGTTTTGTTGTTGTTGCTTTTTTTGAACAACACAGTCGAGATTCACATTGTCCTCGCAGTGAACCGCAGAATCAAATGTCTGAGATCTTTCTACAGCTGAATTATGAATCTCCTGCTGCTGATCACAGAGACAGAAATCGTCTAAAAACGCACAGAGGCCACCAACACCGCACAAAGGTCCCTGACTTCACTGACAGTCTGCGGGAAAAAAAGCATTTTTCTGAGGTCTGAGGTGAGGCTATCTCACATAGTTAACCTGCCAAGACCTGAACTTTTTCATGGCATTTTTAATTTCTCGTTGCTATTTGGGCTGATTGGGACCTGATGAATGTAAAAACAAAGAATTACCTGATTTCCTTTTTTTCTTTATTTTTGTTTTTGAGAAAAGTGAGATCGCTTAATTGTCCATGTTTCACTTATCTTAACTGCACTACTGTATAATCTATATTATTGCTAATATATATTGTAATATATCTATATCATGGCTGAAGCACTTCTGGATGGATGCAAACTGCTTTTCGTTGCCTTGTACCTGTGACATGTGCAATGACAAAGTTGAATTCTATTCTGTTCTATTTAATTCTATCCACATACGTTTGTTTGACATTTTGATAAAGTAGCAGTTTAATGTCCTCGTACATGGATATTAAGAAAATTGTGTTTTGGTCTAGATCAGGGGTCTGCAACCTTTCACTTCCAAAGAGCCATTTGGACCCGGTTTCCACGCCAAAGAAATGAAGATAACACTGTATATTTCTTTTTACCTTTATGCTTTGTGTGAATACTAAGGTGTGTTGCTTATGAAATCCATTAAGTGCTACAAAGAAAAATAAATTTTATTTATGTAATGAACACATTTTGAACTCTTAAAGAAATATAACAAAAGGAAAGACGCCCAGCTGAACTAAAATGATCCATGTAGCAAACAAAAACTGTTGTGAGCCTAAGTTGTGTGGGCATCGAAGGACTACCTAGTGCAAAGAAAGAATATACATGATACAGATGTGCATAAGCTGACTATTTCTTTTTCTACATATACCGGTGTTTGAAAAATGAACAGTGAAAGCAACAGCAAAAAGAAAAACAGATCCTTCAGGCTGGACTGAACAAAGTGATATTTTATTGGCAAAACTTTTAATGAATTTTTAAAAAACATTTTACTGTTGTGTGAAACCAATAAACTCTTATTTTAGCAAAAATATCAAAAACATTTTACACATTGAATGTTTGCAGAACTTATTTACATAGTAAGTATTTAAAGCTCCATGCCTAGCATAAGTTACTTGCACTGCTGTCTTGGGACAACTCCATCTCGTCTCACTTAACCCGTTTTTTAACTAATGCTGTGTTCTGGTAATTTGACAGCATACATGCTACTGCAAACAGTTGGTTGATATTGTAAACAGGTGACATGGTGATGATGCCATCAAAAAGTTTGTTCTGTTTGATCCTCCTAATGACTCGCTCCACATGTAGCCCGAGTCTGACTGTGGCCTGCGTCTCCTTAACCTGGTTCTTCTTCTTCTTCTGCTTAGATACAAAAGGGGGGCGGTACACTTTGCATTTACAACCATCTGTGATCAGGAAGCCCTTATCTACCATCACTGCCATGTCTTCAGTCAACTTCTCAGCAATGCCTGATTGTTTGAATAGTTCCTTGTCACTAACCGAACCTGCGTACAGATCAGAGATGAATGTGACTGGACCATGTGGAGCTATGCCAACCAGGGCTTTCATCGTGCAGTGGGATTTGTATGAAGAGTACGTTTCACTCTGGAGAAGTGGTGAGGATGGTGTCTGACACCTCAGCTCTGTACAGTCAAGGATCACCTGGGTGTCTGAGAAACCTTTGAATTCCTTAGGGAGGTAAGCTTGCACTTCTGCACGTGTAAGCCAGATGCACTGAGACCCCAGTGCAGTGGCAAGAAAACTTGTCCATGTTGCAATGATGCTGCTCACTGTGGACTGGTGTATGTTGAATCGATGAGCCAGGTCCCTCTCCTTCAGACCAACAGACAGGAAAACCAGGAAAAGAAAGAACTCGTCAATTGGCTGGAGCAGCTGCCTCTGAAAGGTTGAAACAAAAGGGAAAATGTTACTCCTTAATCTATGAACTAGTAAGATCATGCTTTTCTTGGCTAAATGTTTTGTAAGATAAGACAGGATAGACCCTTATTAGCCCCACATGTGGGAAATTTGTTGAGTTACAGCAGAAAGTGGCAAAAATTCAGAAAAACAATGGGATAGGATAAGAATAAGACACTGTGTACAATAGCATAAAATACTTTATAGATCAGAATAAAATCTGATATTGTCAAAGTAAATGGTTGCTGGAATGGTTATGCACACCATACTGTACTGTCAGGGTTGAATTCTTTTATTTTTCTAGTAAATAAAGTTGTTTTTATTATCTTTATATACAAACTGCAAACGTCCTCATATGAGTTGTAGGACAAGTCTTAGTGGGACTTGTTAACAGTCCTACTAAGGGGCAGGTCAAATGTCAACGGCACTGCATCCATGTTTATGATCTCGTCCGGTCCGATGGAATATTCGTTTATCTTTCTTTGTGTGAATTTGCGCAAGTTTGTTATTTTCTCTGCATAGTCGGGAGGGAGTTGCTGACACACAGTCGTCCGCGCCCTGATGGACAGTCCTTTTCGTTTTTTCGTTGGCGACTATTTTGGCTTTCAGTCGGATCTGCACAGTTGAAACACCTCGCCCATTTGCTCTCTGTGTGTTCACCCAGCCTTCAATACATTTAGGCCATCTGCTCTTATTTCCTCTGAAAGCTGTTTTCGTCTTTTGGACTGAGCCAGTTCGTCACGCTGGCGTCTCCAACGTCTCACCATTGATTCGTTTATGCCAAAGGTATGTGCAGCAGCTCTACTTCCCCTCCCTGAGAGCTTTAATTTGAAAGCTGCATCATATGCATTTCTTTTCTTTGCCATACTGAGGGTTTGTGAATGAAAGCTTCCTTTGCTCCTGTAATACTCCTCTTGCTAATCAAGTTTGTTTTTCGCGCTACTTCATACGGGACTACGCTGCCTTTCGGACGGACATGTGACCAACATACCACTCTTGTCCCCCGATACTGTGTGTCTGATCACATGCCCTTCTGCCAGCCAACGTAGTGCCGTACAACAGCAGAACAAACAAAACAAATCCTCTGAAAGCCACAGGGTTCAAAGCTTGTGCAAAAAGTAGCGGCTTGTAGCCCAAAAATTATGCCACATAAACACAATGCCATCGCACCTCTAGTTCCAACTACCAACAAAGCCATAGCCTACCGTTTGTGTGCGTGCAGGTGTCAACACTTCTTCGTCCGTGTTGGCAGCTGACTTGGCTCTTGAAGCCCGGATCATCTTATAGATGCAAGGCTCAATCAAAACCCAGAATGCCATCAAATGATCATAGCTTGGAAATCTATTCACAAGAGAGACAAACATCGTGTCAATCATTAATTAACATCACTCATGAAACATACAGTCAGCAGATAAAAAGTAAATATCTGTTGTTTTCATGAAGACTGGAAACACTTGAACTTCGATGTACCTGGTATAGAATTGGATGTCAGTGTCAGAGCCAGCAAACCGCTGTAACCCAAACTCTCGCTGGACACGTAACTCCTGTATTTCCTTCCTCAGACTCTCCACGTCTTTGGACAGGTCTTCTGCTGATGGCTCAGGGACTGAGCAGTAGTCATGATCTCCTGTAACACTGTGCTGACCTTGATCCCCAGGATGAACTAGTTCAGGGGGTCGCTCCGTTCTCTCCCAAACACTACTCTGCGTTGGTTCGACTTTATAATTATTCCACTGAAAAAGTGTCGGGACAGCACCTTTAAAAAGCCTCCTTCGACCATCAAGGGTTGTTGGTCCTGCATCCTTGGCTGCTGGGTCCCTGATAAGAGAGAAAACAAAATCATGTTCATTCTTTTTTGTTGACTTTTGTAGAAAATGGGCCATGTTTCTGGTGACAGTGGGGAAGGAAAAACTCCCTTATAACAGTCAGAATCGAGAGGGTGGGGAGGCGAGGAAGACAGAACAAAAGGCACGCTGTGGCAAGATTAATAATAACTAATGATTCAATTCAGACAGGTGTATAAACGCACAGTGGGCGAAAATGTGATTAATAAAGAGTGCATTATGTGCTAAGGGTTTAAACAGCTCCAAGAATTAGAAGAACCTTTTTAAAACAGTTTTAAAGTTAAAATCATTTCTATGTGTTTATTGTAGTTTTTTTTTTAAGTTTTCCCACCACCTAAAGCAGGGTTAAAGTAACAGTTTCACTATCATGTAGCGTTAGTCTCACCTCACCCAGCCTCAATATGCTTACTTGAGAGCACTCCTCGGTATTAAGTCACACCCAGAGAAAGACTTTGATATATTCACCTTGCAGGGATGCCTTCTGCAGATAGCTTGATTTGTGCTATCTGTTGTAGCTTTGCTGTCTGTCTTCTGTTGAACACATCCAGTCTCATTTTTCTTCTTATCTTCTCTGCAGATGCCTTCTCTGCCTTTCTGCCTACAAAATAAACATAAACATTTCATTATTTCTACTTTAGAGCTTGCTAACTAAGAAAACACGACATAAAGCCCACTATGCATGCAGCTATGTGGTTTTCCATCATCAGAAACCACAACGATAGTCTAGTAAATAATGAAAACACTTATGTTAGAAAGCTTATATAAAAGTTGCCCGATACAAAATGATGGGAACAAGCGGAATACGCCGGCTGGAAGGTCCCATCTTTCAGTCTTATTTTGCTTACTCCTGGCTCCTTCAATGGTGCTACTCAGTTTAGTTCACCTAATGCGGTAAAAGAAAGTACTTCTCTTTTTTCCTCGTCTATTTGTACAACCTGGGGCGCAACAGTTATCAACAATGGTTAGCCGCGTTCACCACGGCAGCCGGATGCTGCCAAAATAGCGACGCCTGGAGGGGGAGGGGGCGAACCTGTGTGACGTCATCTCCCGGAGCCTGAACAGAGGTCGCTGCTCCCTGCACAGAACTACAAATACGACCAGTTTCGAAATAAGAAATCGCATCCAGTTTACTAATGGCTGAGTGCAAATGTGGCTATTTTCAAGCCGCTAAACTGTGAGTACGTCGTCATTCAAACCACGTTAAGTCAGCTGGAGTGCGTGGAGTATAATAGCCATTATAAGATAACCTTTATCAGTCCCACTCAAATTAGTTTTGTCACAGCAGTTAGTGGACAGTGCAAAAGTTATATAACAAAAATTAGAATACAATAAGAATAAAATTCTGTACACAACTGTACAGAATAGAACAAAATAAAAAATACTATATACAGTAGAATAAATAGAATAAGATATACAATAGGATAAAACAGAATACAAATTCTATGTACAACTGAGTGAAAATACAACGATGCCAGAAAGGAGTATTGTCCACCCTCCACCACAATTAATGTTATACATTTATCAATGAATTGCAAATATCTCGTTGTCATATTATGTGTCCATAATTGTAAAGTAGATGCAAACTACTACATTGACAATCGGGCAAGATATTACTTTAAACCCATTGTTGTCCTCCATGCACACAGGGGAAACTTTCAGCGGTTTTCACATTAAGGCCGTTTGAATCCTCAAAACTTTATGTGGCGATTGCCGGACACCAAGAGCAATTTTTTTGAATTAGGGATTGGGGTTTGGGGTAGTGTTTACCTCCGACTAGTGCTCTTTGTTGTTGTCCTTGCGTTCGTCGTCTTTTTTCGGAGTTCATGTGTAGCGTTGGTACCCAGTCTGGATTTGTTTGATCCATTTCATAGGCAGGCTTCCCTACAGTGGTGCGACAGAATTAGCGAATCTTTACATAGCACGTGTCTGCAAAGTCACTCAATACGATGTTTGTTCGGATTGTATAACCTCCGAGTGCATCAACAATAAAAATCATTAAGCTATAAAGAGTGATGTAAACATACTACATTTTCACTTACCGGAGTGAAAATGTCGGGAGCACACCAACAGATATTTAGAGATGGAAGAGAACTGGAGATCAAGTCGTCCCACGGCTGCTATCCAGGCTAGACGCCTTCTTTTGGTAACATCCGATACATGAGCTCCTTCACGTTGCTTCCAGGTTGGGAAAGCATAAAAAGACAATCCAACCTTATTCCCGTGCCGGTCGTAAGATCGAACATTGCAGCCGAGCACACAGCAAGTACGAACCATGGCTATGCTATCGCTCCTAGCTTAGACCCCCAAAATGGTGAATCGGGCCAAAATCCTTTCCACGCCCACCCCCGTGACATCACGCTCCGAAGCCCTATATGGCGCATCAGCCCAAAAGACTTTCCACGCCCACCCCGTGACATCACGCGCCCAAGCCCTGTAAGATAGTGATGTCCTGTGTGTCGAAGCGTGTGTCAGGGGAGTTTTTGGGAAGCACGTATCGAGGCTCGCTTTGATTACGTATGCAGTGACGCTCGAGGCCTCGCGGGCAGTCCGTACCACGTGACTGATTCAGGGACTGGCTCGCCGGTTCGCGCCAGATTCGAAATAAAATGGGCAGCAAAACACAGCTGATTCCCCATCGCACTGTTGTGGAATTGGACTACGTACGTGCTACATAGTTGAGTATTTCTTCTTCGATGGAACCAGCAAGGAAGAGATTTTTTTTTAATTTAATCTCCTAATAAAGTATGCACACAGTTATAAATGTCACAAATGATAAGTACCATAATATAAATAAACAACACTATAGATCCTATAATCTGATTTCTGTATTTTAGTTTATTAAAAAGTGAAGCGCCACACAGTTTGTGTGATTATCCAGATGTACATAAGCATGATTACACAGTTACACAATCATACCAAAACTCTGTCCTGATAGTTTCCACTTTCTCTTTTGTATCAGACATGCTGAGACAATATTCGGGATAAATAACCATGAAAACAATTTATTCAGTTTAGAGGTTTACACATCCCATCAAAGAGTCTGTTTCACTTGAATCGTCCACTTGATGGCGCAGTAGAGCAAATGAATCATCACAATGCTTTGACCATGAGTCGACCAGTGTGATGGAAAGCTTCAGTTCATCACGAGGCTTCATCTTATGGAACGCCAGGACTGCCATAATGAATTAATTAAATACACGATTAAATAACTGAGTATCATCCTTAAATAAATGTTTTAGTGTGTTTGTACAGGTGGCTACAGAACTGGATCAACATCCTCCACAAGCACAGCGGCCGGAGCCAAATGATAGATTAACATCATTGGAACTACACCCAGCCCGTGTTTTGACTGAATATTACACAGCTTCACTCCATGTACACCTTACACTGAAGAACAAGCTTCGAGGGCAACCGATCTCTCCCTGAAGACAAAATGCAGTTCGAGAGCAACAGCGTCAACTTCAAGACTCAACAATGTGAACACACAGCAACACTGCCCTAAACCCTAAAGGGTTCAGCAGCATGTACAAATACCATGGATGGATGGAAGTATGCGCTCCCAATCACAAGCTGGGAGGTTTGCCAGCGACATCACTGTGTGTGAATGGACTTGAGAAGACTGTCTGAGTTTCACATTTGCCATACTGGGAGCTGAAAAGGCAAAGGAAGAGACTGAAAAGAGTGAAAGACAAAAGGCAAAGCTGAAGAAGAACGGCCCACTGGGCCCCTCACACGCCACAACTGTGAACTGCTGCAGATTCAGGAGAGAGACAGAAGCTGTGAGAAGTGGAGAGCATGGAGGAAAAATGAAGTCTGTTGTTGTTAATGTGAGAACACGTGAAAATTGGGTTGGAAAACTGTGGCCGGCTGTCTTGTGGAGGTTGATAAAGAGTCCGTAGGATTGCAACAAAGGTAAAAATAAAACGCACACAAACACACATAAACAGAGAAATGTGAAGGAAAGGCAGCTTTAAGGACACGCCCTGCTGAATCTGCAGCTCCACTGCACACAGCCATTAAACCTGCCTACTAACACACACATGCAATGAAGATCAGCTTGTTATCTGTCATCAGTGTTAAAATTGTGCAAATTTCACAGACACTTGTTATCAAACGCTGAGTGTATCCACTGCTGACAAATAACCCTCTAGGGTTGCAGGACAAGAGTTTAACTTTTGTGAAGGGAAAAAAAGAGATTCTGGTTTGACCAACCAGTGATCAGACAATAAATTTAGTTGTTAATATAGTAAATTGTGAGATGCTTTCTGCATTATTGGTGCAGCACAAGTAATTTACTGTATGAAGGAAATTCTCTTTTGTGATAATATTTTGAACATGCATTTCTGTTGTCCTGTCAATTTAGTGGGTTAATAGCTGATTTGCAAATTAGTTGATTGTTACTAGATCAGGGAAGGATGACAGTATTATAAAACAAGTGAATAAGATGTAGCAGAGGGTAGAGTTTCCTGTTTCTGATGTATGGGTGAAGCTTGCACCCAGATACACACTCTGATTACACGAGAACAAACTTGTTTTGTGAAATACATGATGACATGTTACACGTTTTATGTTTGGGGAAGAAAAAAAAAGGAAAGAAAAATTAAATGAAATGATTGGGTCTGTGAAAATGAAAAATAAGTTTAAAAAAAAAAAAAGCACAGACCTGGGGAAGAAATCCACATTCCTGTGATAAAACATTGATATGAAGTGTTTAGGAAGCTTTTCATGGTGAACATTTGTGTTGTGTGAACTCTGCAGCTGCTAATGAAAAACATTTTCTCTGTGTATTTAACAGGTGAAACTAGGTCAGTTGGCCCCAGACTTTCCAGAATTGGAAATATTCAGGAGCACTTGTGGGCAACCAGTAAATATGATGTGGGGAAAATGAACAAAGGTAGTGACACTTAAGTCTGATTTCAGACCATGTAAGCATCAGTTGTTAATTAAAGCCAGAAGCAGTGACTGCAGCACTGCATGGCAGGTTCTAACCCCTACAGCCTGTTAGTTCACCTGAAGGCAAAACTTTTCCTGTTATTTTTCCGGTAGATTTTGGGGTTTTTGTTTTAGTACCAGGCTGATTCTGCCAGTTAGAAAAAGAAAAACAACCCAAACCTAAGAGAAATACTTTTTTTTTATTTTTGTTTTTTTATTTACACTTAAGACATGTCCGGGCCTAAAATCTTTTTTGTTTTTGTAACAGTGCACTTAGGGGAAAACCTGCCAGGTATCATCCCTCTGGGTGTGATATTTTGTGTGTTGATGTTAAAAGCAGGCCAGCAAGATTGGGAGAAAAGCGCTATAAAATACTTTAATTGAGAGCAAATATAAGGTGAGCTTCTCAAGATTACAATTGGCTTCTGAGAAAATTCACCTACATAGGATGCTGACCATATTAGATGGGAAATCCTGTGTTTAAAAGGATTGTAGCGATTCAATTCATTTCAATGGCAAGAAGAATTGTTTTTGTTTTTGGAATGATGAAATATTGCTGTCAGTGGACATTTAAATTTGTGCGCGGTTTTCCACTATCAGCAATGATCGTTATGAATGCATGTGACTAGATGAATACATGTGATTGGTATAAATGCAAATGCAAAGGACTGTGGCTGGACTGATGATGTGGACTAAATGTGACTGACTTGAAATTCAGAAGACGGTAACTATTCTAGGATTGGTAACTTTTAATGCCTAATCCACCCCAAACAGTGAAAAAAAGGGTGGATGTATGTGTTTTTGTTTGCTTGTTTTTGCAGAAGCAGAAGGATGACAGAGACCAGAGGAGGAGAGACTGTATGTTTACATGAGTGTGGGCAGACTAAACCCTTTAGCTGCTACTTTTCTGTTTTACTGATTTTGTGTGAAGAACACTGTTTTTACTGGCTGCTTGTTGGTTATAGTAACACTCTGTATTGTTGGAAAATGTCAAATGTTAGAAGTTGTCAGAAAACATAGCGGCCTTGAAGAGCGTGCAGAGAAGGCCAGCCCACATCAGCAGCAGTTAAGCTATGCTCTGATGAACGGCTTTCACCCACCCACTGCTGACTTCATTAGGAAACAAAATTTTAATCAAAACACAGACGGGTCTGTTGAATGCATGAATTGGGCCCGCCATGTGCTACTCCGGAGGAGACGCCCTGATGTTGCATTGGCAATGATCTAACTAACCCTTTTCTTTAAGAAAGGAGCCTAGTTCTGATGAGTTGACTCATGGGAGTGTCGATGAGTCAAGAGGAGGAATTCCAGGTTTAACATGAAACAATGTTTTCTGTGTTTTCCATGACGATTTTTTCCACGGCTTTTTACTGTGACTTGTGGGATTAACACGTTATGGACAGGTATGTTCGGATGAGGGTTTGAAAACTTATAAGTGAAGTTCACAAAACTGAAAGGAAAAATGTGGATTGATGTTGGTTGATATATTTTCCAAATGGTTAGAAGTTTTTCCTTCTAGTAGGGAGATACAGGTGCAGTGGCCAGAGTATTGCTGGAAGAAATCATCCCAAGGGTGGAATCTCCAGAGATTGAGACTGGGTGCTGATCAGAAGTATTTAGAGACCCAGCGAGAAGTAAGAAACAGTCATGGCAGAGCTGAAAGCCCAGGCAGTAGTTGAGGTCAAAGGTCGTGCGGTTTGGGGCCCTACTAGTCATTATGAGAAGGTTCCAGAACCACAGCAATAACCATAAAGCTGCACTGGAACGAGAGGGTGAGGGGTGAAAAGAGTGCCCTCCTCCAAAAAGAGCATGCCAAGCTCCAACTCAGCGACTGCAGAGCAGACTCTGTGGCACCTAAGAGGGATCATGAATGCAGATGACACCTTATTAAACAATCAGGCAGTTGTGCCGGAAGTAGTTCCGTGTGGTTTTGTGTTAAGGGGGTCGTTGGTGTGACATTTCTAATCATCTTATAACTGATATGCATTTACATGACTGTGAACATCACAAACTCTGTTAGAGTCCTGAGCAGAAGTGACTGGAGTAGTTTTAGCATGCACGTTTTACAGCAACCTAACTAATAATTATTTGTGTATATTTTGTAGACTGATTTTCTAGCATGTCAGTTCCTGATGTGTAAGTGCATTAGGCCCTCACTGTCCGAGTAAACATAGTAACAACAGTTGT